CAATGAACTAGGTATATAGGTGGTCATGTGAGTATAGCAGAAAATGCGAACACTTATTGCTTATCAATGTCTGACATTGTGCAAAGAGTAAGACTTATGGGGTATGGCAATGTGTTTAGGGTACACACTAGTTGGTTGGTTGCTGGGGAAACTGAAGTTATAACTGCATTATGTAGTGATGAAGATGTTTTAATGATGTGTCAATTTGCTAAAAATGGTGACACTGTGGACTTGTATGTAGAGCATGACATTGATGTAGTTAAGGTTGTTAATGATATCCCAGCTTTTGGGAATGTGGTAAATGAGGGAGAAAATGCAGTGGATGGGGTAGGTGAGATAGCAATCAATGTTGAAAGTGGAAATAATAGTTGTGGGGCTGACTTGAGAAGGGGTAATCTGCAAAATGAGGAAATAGGGGTTGGGGCAAATGTGCAAGAAAGAAATAGTGTAGGGCCCAGTGTGCAAAGAAAAATATTGGAAGGGCAAGTGTGCAAAGAGAGAATATTAGAGGGGGAAGTGTACAAAGAGATAATATAGGAGGGGTAACTTTGCAGGGTTATATGTGCCACAACAAAATGCACATGGGTCAAATATAGACAGCAGCAGTGAGGGAGAGAGCAATGAAGATGAGAGTGGCAGTATTGGAGATGATGAACAATCTAGTGAGGAAGAATTAAATGAACATAATCTTGAAGAAGCTGAGCAATTTGACAGTGAGGTTGATGAAGAACTTAGGGCAGCAAGAGAAACAGTGAGAATTTACAAGAGGAGAACAAGGGCTCCACCATGCAATGAAATTGAGGAAATTCCTCTTGGTGAAGCTGGGGCAGATATAGTATTCAGGGGTGAGGAATATATTAATGATAGGTTTAAGGGAAAAACTGGGAGAGATGAACCATATCCTTATAGCTCATATCCAGATAGTGGGGATGTAAGTGATGATGAATAGAGGAGAGATATTGGTAATCTAGGGAGGGGAAAGGCAAGAGAAAGGAGGATACACTATGATCCAACAACAGAAGTTCCTTATTGGGAATTGTAGATGGTTTTTGAGAATGCAGATGAATTTTAAAAATTTGTGAGTAAGTATGATGTTGCTAGGGATGTGGACTTGACATTAAGGCCAATTGGGAGAACAAGGATAAGAGCCAAATGTAGAGAAGGATGCCTTTGGTTACTGTTTGCTAGTAAAGACAATGTTACTCAAAATTTCATTATCAAGACCTACAATCCATAGCATAAATGTTACAGAACTAACAAGAACAAGCTTTGCAACTCTAAATTCATTGCAAGGGTCTTTCGTGAAAGGATAATATCACAGCCAGGAATCAAAATCAGAGATATTCAGGACCTTTGTAAAGACCAACTTTCTGTGTATGTTAGGAGGACAGTGTGTAAAAGAGCAAAGATGAAAGTTTTGAGGGAAATTGTTGGTGATTACAAATTGGAATTTGTAAGGATTCATGATTACTGTGATGAGATATTAAGGACAAATCCTGGGTCTACATGCTTTGCAAGGTGTAAAAAGTTAGATGATGGTAAACAGAGGTTTAAGAGACTTTACATATGTCTCTATACATGCAAGCAGGGGTTCTTAGATGGATGTGAGAAAGTTATTAGGTTGGATGGCTGCTTCTTGAAAGGTCCAGTAGGAGTTCAGTTGCTTGTGGCCATGTCAAATGATGGGAACAATCAGATGTTGCCATTGCTTGGGCAGTTGTAGATATAGAGAACATAAAAAGCTAGTTGTAGTTTGTATCTAATTTGAAGATAGATCTCCACATAACAATTGGCAATGGATGGTGTGTTGTCACAGATATGCAAAAGGTACTACATTCTGCTTTTTCTTTTAAGTAAAATCTTTTCAATATAAATGCATTTGCTTTGTTAGTTAAATGAATTCTATGTTACTGTTTATTCTTTGATTTTGGTAAAAGTATTTGTTTATTTATGTAACATCCATTTCCGGTCCACCCATTAACCCGAATGAACCGAGTCGAGACGCTACAATCTGGTTGAACCTATGTCCTGTCATGCTGATATTATCCTGTATGCTAAATATGCCTACACAATCTGGTTGATACTATGTCCCTGTCATGCTGATATTATCTGCTGTATAGCTGAAATTAGAATACAAAACCACTCCAATCAAAACTCCAAAACTTCCAAACATCTCAAAATAATTCAATCATCAACATAATAACCACTTTATATATTATTCATAAACTGTATAAAATCCCAAGCAATTAATTGCATTCATGATCTATATCAAGTCTTCATGAACTAATCATACCAACTATTGTAAAATATTTCATATTCAATCATTTCATAAGGATTATTCTTATCTCCAAATACTTACGCCAAAATAATTACATGCTTCACTTATATTTCCAATTACATAAGCTCCAACAAATGTAATAATTATACATGCCATAATTCTTAATTATACATACCATAATTCTTAATTATACAACTTTCAATCTACTACTCCCAAATTAGTCACTTTTGCTTTGATAGTACTCTTCAAGTCTTCAAATAGCAACCACGATCTTCAACCTACGCGTGATAAAAATCGACGCGCTGAGTATAATAAAACTCATGGTGCTCATAATTTCACATACTTAACAAAGTGCGATGGCAACTTACTTAAAATACAATTTCATCAAATCATTTGATTAATCTAGAACATTAAAATTTCAAAACATTAAATGTACTTTATAGCAAAGAATAAACCTTCTAATCATAACATCAAATAATTTAGGTCTAATTATCTTCATAACTCCCTTTCATAAAACATTTTAATCACACATATCATGATACTTTCATGATCTTACCTGTTGTTCATTATGTTGTATGACTTATGTACTTTTTAGTCAACATCGTATAAGTTATAAATAGAAAATCTCAAAAATCTCATAATTGTATGGCTCCATAAGAACTTAATAAATAAACAAGTAAGCACACATAACATTATATTTTCATGATCTTACCTGATGTTCCTTATGCTGTATGAATTCTGCAACTTTTATTAAAACTTAGTGAATAAATATCGCAACGAATAAAGAAACATGTAAGCACATACATATGTATAAATAAACATGTAACCACATATGGATAAAGAAATATGTAAGCATACATATCATTCATTATCGTACTTTATGCTATATAACTTAAGCAATGTTTAGTCAATATAACTGTATAGCTCCATAAGGTTATAGTGAAACCAAAGTGATAAGAGGTACTGTATGAAACTGGCTGGATGAATACTGTATACTGGGCTCGCTATTGGCCCATATAATAACATATCACTCAACGGCCTGTAGCCGGAGTACCTAAACTGAATGGGGCGCAGATCTGCTGATCCTAGTGTCCGACATATGCCTTATCTACGTGTTCCTACTACACCTCAATGGACAATAAATATCGGTATGTCAATGTGATAAAACAAAAGCAATAACCTTCATAACTTCACATAAACCATAATGTTTACCTGGTTTCACATCATTTGCATGCTTGCATGTTGTTTTGATACATGTTCTCATGTTATCTTTTTGTTTTAAAATGATTATAGGAATACAATTTGAGCAAAGGAATACAATTGCATAGAGCATAGAAAAAGAGGTTCAAAAGAGCATCAGAACACAAGTCGCGAGCGCGAGAAGCACACATGAGGGTCAGTGAGTTTACAAGCAAGATTCGTGAGTGCGACATGCAATTCGCGAGCGCGAGAAGCTCCCTCACGAGTTAGAGAGGTTACAGGCACAATTCGCGAGCGCGACATGCAATTCGCGAGCATTCGCGCTCGCGAGTCGTGTTTTCCAGCCTGCGCAGTGTGTACTATTTTGGTCATATCGCTCAATTTATAACTCCAATTTAGGTAATTCAAAAACCCATGGATAGCTAACACATAGAGGAACAAATAACTCTTCTATGACACTTCCTAATTCCATCAGTAAATAGAGTCAAAATCAAGGTGAAGTTACTGGTTACTTTTCCAGCAAAACCTATTTCAGCATGAACTCAATATCTACTTCATTTATTCATTTCGTCTCATGCTTTTTCACCATTTTCAGTCTTCTTACTCAACATTAAGCAACATATCTTCTCATTATCAACACACCACACAAGTGCTCATGCAAGGAAATTATTAGTTAATACTACAAGAAGAGCAAACCTTCACTTACAGTAGCTTGGAATCTTCTTCTTACCTTCCTTTCTTCTACCTTTGAGCCACCCTCCTATACATAAGAACTCTTATTGAAATAATTTAAAATATCACTAATTAGAGGCTGAATAAAGATAGAGCTTCAAGAAATGCTACTTACTTGGATAAAGCTAAGAAGTTGAATTAATGCTTAACTCCCATTAATGGAGATAAAGAAGAAGAAGATGGAAAAAGAAAGGTGAAGAGTAAATAGATGAAGATAAAAGATGAAGAGGAAAAAATGAAATGGAAAAGTCTCGGACATCTCCAAAAATATCATTGATTCTTGTGTGTAAAATACTGAAATGTACTCAATGTCAATCGGTCTACAACTAATACCTAAGCTTGGATTTGTAGTGCAATAATATATCCTCAATGCCTTATACTTTGCTCTTTTTTGCTTCAATTCAAGAGTCCATTCTTGTTCATTATTATCTTTTTGCTTCATTCAAGTAAGTCCACTTCTTTTCATTATTTCAGTTACATCCCATTCTACCCCACTCTGGACTTTAATGGCTCGAACCGGGTTTTGGATCAGCCCGACTCGACTCTAAGCACGACTCGATTCAGTAGGATGTCATAACTTACTATTTTCAAACACAGAAAAATGGGGCGTTACAATTTAAGTGAGAATTTATAGTTTGCATATGTTTTTATTGTATTGATGTGTGTTGGTTATATGAAATATTAATAGGGTCCTGATAAGGCTATTTCACAAGAGCTACCTGAAATTGAACACATAATATGTGCTAGACACATCTGGTGCAATTGGGCTAACAAATGGAGGGGTGAAGACATGAGGAGAAAATTTTGGGAGGTTGCAAGAGCACCATTTCAGATGCTTTTGAAAGACAAACTGAAAGAAATGGAGAAATTGGAAACTGAGATTATTGATGATCTGTTCTATTACAATCATCAAAGATGGTGTAGGGCTTTTTTTAGTGCAAATACTAGATGTGATGTGGTAGAAAATAATATGTTAGAAACTTTCAATGGTTGGATTTTGAGTGCAAGATTCAAGTCCATTATCTCCATGTTAGAGGATATTAGGGTGCAAGTTATGAAAAGGATTAAAGTAATGCAAGAATTTGCAAACATTTGGATTTGTGACATAGCTCCTACTGTGATGGAGAAATTAGAGCTTCATAAGTTATTGGCAATGAAGTGTCAGCCCACATGGAATGGAGATACATGTTTTGAGATTGTGGAAGGAGAATACAAGCATGTGGTTGATCTCAATATGTTACAATGCTCCTGCAGGGCATGGAAATTAAAGGGAATCCCATACCAGCATGCTATATGTGCAATGAACCATAAGAGATTGACACTTGAGGATTATGTGATGTACGGATATAGAAAGGAGATATATTTGATGTCATATGGGTATTTTATACAACTAGTAAGAGGCATGAAACTTTGGCCTGAGTCAAACAATCCCATTTTCCTACCACCAGAAGAGGAGAGGAAAAAGCTAGGAAGCAAGAAGACTTGCAGACGGAGGGATGAAGATGAACCGAAGAGGAAAATAGGCAAAGCATCAAGAAAACGAGTGAAAATGACTTATGCTTTATGCAAAAACTCAGGTTATAACAAAAGGGGATGCCCTCAGAAACAAGGAATGTCAAGTCAGGTACTTTTATGAAATTCTAATTTGCTTTTGCTTTGTTAGTTTATTCTGTTGCCAAATAACTTGTTTTATTTTTAATGTTGTATTATAGACTGCTGAATGTGTTCCAGTGAATAACGAGATGCCAAGCCAAAGGGAAACTCCAATGCCCACTCAATCTGAAATGAATGGTACTACAACTAATGCCTACTCCGGAAAAGAGGCATAAATTCAAGTTCAGCTGCAGATTAGTCAGTAGGAGGACAAAGAAATGAAAGTGCATCAACAGAGCAATCCGGACAAACACCTAACACCTACAAATGCAAGTGCAGTAGCAGAGCAATCCACACAAGGAGCCAGAAACACACCTGCACCACAACCACAACAAGGGCCAAATAAAAAAAGATATGTTGAACCAACTATGGCTTCACAGGCTAGAAGCGCATCTGTACCTAGAGTAATGGGAGTTTATATAAATGAGAGAACTGGATGCACAACTTATCAAGTTTGTTATTGTGTGCGATATGTTGTTGTGTGTGATTTGTTGTTAATTATGCAAATGAGTGCTTAATACTACTGTCATTTAATTCAGGGTTTAGTTAACGCTGCTTTAAGATTTTGGTCAATCCTGGTAGACTTAAGAGCTCAGCTGTAGTGATAGGGGATATTGGATAAAGACCACCAAGCCTAAAATGGAAGGGAAAAATGCCACCAAAGCAAGGCAACTGCAATAGCAGATGACAAGAATGCAGACTAGAGGGCAAGAAAGCAGCAGTCAAGCATCACAAGTAAGCAATCATCAAACATAAACAACCTTTAAGTAGTTAGGGGATATAATTATGTGATTTTTGTGATTTTCGCTGTCTTTTTTGTTAGGGTTAATCAATTGTGATGTAACCTATATTAGCAACTCTGTTGAATTATGTTTTTGGATTATTGGTATGGCCTTGTTCCAATGGCCAGCTTCATATTTAATGTCAAGTACTAATCTTCACTATTTATTACAAATGTTGATGGATTAGTTTCTACAAGTTTGCGAAATTTTTTTTGCCAATAATTTTGTTCTTTAACCATTTGTTATTTTAATAGGAATTCATCTAAAAGTCCAAGAGTAATAGATGCAGAAAATTGGAAAGAATTTTAACACATTTTCTTAAAATAGGGTCTTACTTCTCATTACTGAATATCAGTACAAAACAACCTGCAATCATAATACATTCAGGACACATTCAAACTACATACAATAACAACACACCACAACACTACCCAACGTACTGCCCTAACATATTCAATGCTTCCTAGGACATGAACTACTAGTGCTTAAGTTATACATTTGGCTAAAACACAGAAAAAAAAAAACACAACCACCACCCCAAAGATGACCTTAAATATTTTTGCTTTATATCTCTTCTCTTCATCAAAATCCCTTATCCTTCTCAACAGACCTAGTATGACATTCTACACATGCTCCGACATCGGTGGATTGACTCGCTGGAAAAAATTACATGCCCCTTCCCTCTGTACAAAACTAAACAATTATCAAACTTGTCTCCATAATTTTCATTAAACAAAATAATTATACAAGAAAATTAGAAATAAAAAAATCAACTCGCCCTAAATCTCCTGCACCCAAAAAATCGTCTACCAAGATTCACCTCAGTCCATGACACCTTCATCACAACTGTGACACCACAAGGGCAATTAGAGATTATGTAATCAATGGGTATGTCCATCGCAGGACAAATGATGGGTTGGATTGAGTTGAGAGAGGGATCGAGAGCGCTGAGAGAAGAAGAGAGAGGTTGAGGGGGAGAGAGATTCTGGTTCCCAAATTGAAACAGAAAATGTTTTGACCTAATTTTATTATTGGACTATTATTTGACCAAGATTCATGACATGGCATGTAAAATCTGCCAAATTAGATACTCTTATGAGATCTAACTCGCTCACTTAGCGAGTGTATATCACATCCCAATTTGTTATGTGTCTAGGGGTCCATAAATTCCAAAAAAATAAGTGTAGGGGGCCACAAGGTCATTTTGAAAGTTGAGGTGGCTAAAAGACATTTTTGCACAAGTACATAGGGCAATTTATGTATTCGGCCTTTAAAAATTATCGTATCTCGTACGTTCTTGTATCTCGTGTCCTGTGTTTGTGCAACCTAACTCCTAGCATATGAGACTACTCCATACACCAAGCTAATAAAATTAATCGTATCTCGTACGTCTTGTTCTCGTTGTCCTGTGTTTGTGCAACCTAACTCCGTAGCATATGAGACTACTCCATACACCAAGCTAATCAGCCTAAGGATTTTATATTACAAATAAAATGAAATGTTTTTTTTTTAATTTGCTTTTGTGCCATGAAATAAGAAATTTAGTATTTTTTTTAAACTTTATGTTTATTATAAACTGATTGTTTAATTTATTTGAATATATCTAATTATTACTTATTTAGTGTTGTGTATTTAAGCGAGTGAATGTCCTTACATTTTTTTAAAAATTACCGTAATCCCGAATGTTTCCGTATCTTGCGTGTTTCGTTTTCCATGCAAGCTCCAAGACTTTTGGTATATGAGACTACTCTATTACACCCAAGCATAATCAACCAAGTTTTTTATACCAAAAAAATGAAGTAATTTTTAAAAATATTTTTTTGTGTTCCATGAAATAAAAATTTAAGTATGTTGTTTTTCTTTTTTGTTTTATAATTTATCTATAATTGGTTATCTTTTATTTGAAATATTAAAATGTATTACTATTTAATGTAAGTGTTGTCCTAAAGCATGTAGATGTCTACTATTTTAAAAATTGTCCCATATCCCGCATGTATGCAATCTTATATTTTTAATTGCTTCATATATTAAATTTATTTTTAATTGTAATATTATTTACTCAACACTCTTTTAAGCGTGTAGATTACTTATTATTGTTTCTGTAAGAATTTATATTAATATATTAAATTAAATGTTATAGATAATCTTTTTTTATAGATATTATCTTGATAGCGGGATTATCTAAAAATATAAAACAACTGATCTTTTTATAATTTTTATAATCGTGCTAAATTATATGAATTCTAATATCTATCATTCTATAATCCAAAATAATGATAAGTGGCAAACTGTGCTACTTATACTTAGCTTCCATATGAGGCAAACTACCATGTTTTTATATATTATATAGATAGATATAAATTTTTCAACAGTGATAATAATTTTGAGAATTTAACTAATTATATTGAAATAAAAAATTAAGTATTTTTTTTATTTTATGTTTTTTATTTTTATTTTATTATTTATTATAAAATGATGTTTAAGTTTATTATCATATCTCGTAATGTTCTTCGTATTCTCATGCGTCGGTGTCTGTGCAACCTAAATTGTCTGTATATAAGACTACCCCATACGTCAAATAAAAAATTAAATATTTTTTATTTTATAGTTTGGGTTTAATGTACTTTTAATTTAATTTTAATTAAACCTAATTATAATTAAAATAAAAAATTAAATTATTTTTTAATTTAGTGTTTTTATTTATTATAACATGATTGTTATTTTTAATTATCATATTCACGTATGTTCTGTATCTCGTGCCCCTGTGTCCAATTGCAACTTCAACTCCTGGTAATATAATTAAGTATTTTCTTATTTTATGGCTTTGGTTATTTGTATTTGATTAATTGTTAATTTAATTTAATGGCATTATCCTGATGGGATCTAACTGATAGATATTATCGATGATAAAGCCATTATCTTATAAATTAAAATAATTTAATTTTCTTAGTAATTTGCTGTCATTAACGTTATTTTTTTACAACCATGCTAAATAATTTATTGTCCCCACTCATACTGGCAATTTCAAAGGCTTACACTGGTTCCATATAAGTAAACTGCTCTGCTTTATATAAATATATATATATAAGTATATAATATAATTACTATAATCCCTTTTTAAGCCCTCATTGTAGTTTAGCAATAGCTACAAAAATTTACAACAATTTTTTATATATTTTTATATTTAATAAATAAATTTTTAAAAAATTTTTAAAATTTAAAATTTTTATAATTCTAAATATTTTTATAGCCTAATAGATTAAAAATTTTAATATTATTTAAATTAATTTTGAATATTGGATTCAAACAAAAAAATGAGTTGTTTGGAAAATATTATCTTAAAAATTTCTTTTAGGAAAATATTTTCAAATATAAGTTATTTTCCTGAATTAAAGTAGCCTGGGTTGACCTTTTTCTTAATTGCTTGTGTTCTTAAAGGATCTATCTTGTGTCAAAGGTATTTCTTTATAATTTTATTTGTTAGTCTCTGTGCTTCGCATGACTGTATAATTTTTTTTAATCAGGTGTAAAATATATATATCAAGTAAATTGTTAAAAAATTGAGGTGCATATAATGCATGTACAATATGATTTAAATGTATCATGTAGAATTAAAATTTTTTATTTTAACTAAAATGAAAGACCACCCTTAAGATAACATGTGAAAGAAAATAAAAAGGCAAAAAAGTTAAATCATAAGAGAACATTAAGAATCATTGTATTTCAAAGTAATTTAAGTCATAAATAAGAGAATAATTTTTAAAGAGCTACCATGTGTAAAATCTGCAATTTTTTCTAATTAAATTTAAACTAAATACTCAAATTTTAGAGGGTTCCACCTTCCAAAGAGAATACGGAACAAATCTCCATAATATATATATATATATATATTATATATAATATTATATAATATATATATAATAATATAATATATATATTCTTAATTAATACTATATATTGCTTAATTAGATGAATTTAAGAAATGCACTTCAAGCATTTGTTATCAGGCATTTTTAGTAAGTAGCTATATAATAAATATATATATAATATATAATATAATATATATATATATATATATATCATTGGAAAAAGAGACTTAAATGGATCATTTAATGTTATTAACACTGCCAATAAACTGTCAGACAAGATTGAAAAGAAATTTGTTGGTTTCAAGTATATCATTTGGAAAAGAGACTTAATGGATCATTTATGTTATCACACTGACAACTAAACTGTCAGACAAGATTGAAAGAAGTTTGTTGGTTCAAGTTAAATTAATAAGTTGTCTATCTAAATTTTGCAAGTCAAATTTTGTCTGAATGAAAAAACTTCCTTTTAGAATTGATTCAATAAGTTATATATGTAATGGCTCAAAAGAGAAAATTGTCCTATAA